AATAAATGATAAATCTAATACAAGTTAGTTATAGAAAGTCTTATTGCCATTAATCCATTTCTGACTCACAGTGACCCTATGGAGCAGAGTAGACAGTTTTCTTTTGCAAAGCACCTATGGGTTCAAACCACTAAAATCTCAGTTTGTAACGAATTGCTTAACAACTGCACCACTAGGGCTCCTTAGAAACACACAGTGGAGAGTTCTTAGAAATATCTGGTCCAGTAATTTTCAATCTTTACTTTTAAATGCAGACATATGCTTAAAAAATTCGTTTATGTGACATTACTCTACTTTTCACCTGGGTTCAATGATCTATGGTAATGGCCACACAGAACTCAGAAGATACTCAATGATTATGAGGTTTTTTATTAGGGAAGGCAACAAATTACAATTCAGGTGGGAAATGTTTACGATATGGTTGCTCAGTAAGACAGATTTTCTCTGCTGTGCCTGCAGTCAGGATTTTCTCTGGCCTGACCTCTGCTCCATTGAGGCAAAGTTACCAAGCTCTTTTAGGATTTCCAGTAAATGCCTAACGTGCATGCCACTCTGCTATCAGCCTCAGGCTGAAGGCATTCAATTCTCCCTCCACTAGTCAGCAAACATAGCTCCGCCTAATTAAGTACCCAGAAGTACCCCACTCCACAAGCCAGCCTCCTGCCTCAAAGCACTCAGCTTTACTTGCTCTGTGCCGCAAAGTATATTCGCTGCTCTTGTTTCATGCACTGGCTCCTGGTTCTACTGCTGCTGCATCTCTGATGCTCTACAGATGTCAGAGCTGGCTCCCAGATCAGGGAGGTTGAGTAAGTAAGGGTATCTCGGTCTTTTAGCATTTTCCTCCACCTTTGCTTGCAGAAACCCGCCAAGAAAGGGTAGTTTGGTGGGAATTAGAAATTATAACTTGAAGAGTCATATTAAATAAGTCACTGCACTGCATGCCACCCCTGGTTTTTCTAGCTCTTGTCTATTTCATACGTAAAAGATTCACTTCTCCCCTTTTAATATTTTTTATTCTGAGTGCATTCATAAAAGCTTCTAAGCCAGCCACTACATGCTCTTGTCATCATGTTTTTGATACCCACTCTCTAAATTGGCTATATCCAACAACCCAGTACTTTTGAGGAGAGAAGAGGGTTTTCTTATATGAAGAATCTTCATTTCCATTTGGAACTTGGGCCATCTGTATCCATATGCAAACTCAAATTTCAGCAGCTTTTACCATCTGACAGTGTTAATTATCTGACTTTTTTCATTTGGTTGAGTTCTGGTCATCTCAGCCCTAGCTATCCATGGTAGGTCAATTGGAGACCAGCTGCAAGCTTAGAAGTCTGCACACACTTCCCTGTGCTTCAGACTCGCTTGCCCCTTCTCACTCTCATTTGCCTTAGCCCCCTTGGCTAGGTCATGCTAAAGGCTTATTAGTACTGCACAGTTCTTTACACTTCAGTCAACCCTTCCTCTTCTCCCTTGTCTCTATCCTCTGTGAACTAGATCAGTGGGTACAAGTGGAATCTGTTTCAACTCAGCCCATATTGTCACTGCTGAGTTTTCCCCCACTTGAATTTAACAGATGGATGCAGATGGATACCATAACAAGCATACAAACATGCCTGCTTACTGGCTCTCTTTAACTTTCACTCCTCGAAAGGTACTTTCTGAGGGGTAGTAACTTTTTCTTCCATCAGTGGTATCATTAGCAAACTGCTTGCTCATAATTAAAAAGAAACAACAAAGTACCAGGCAGGAACAATTCTCAGTAATCATTGTGGATTCAAACGTATAACCCTTAACCCTTTTAATAATACTCAAAATTAATCTCTTTTCCACACCGAATGTGTTTCCATTTATATGCATACAGCCTGAGCCCTAGGGCCTCTGCAGAGTGGATTCAGTAGGTGCTGCCCTCCCATTGTCAGTCATGCTAGGCTCTTTCCCAGGCCACTCCAGAAGCATCATTTTTTCCCCTCAGCTGCAGCATATAATTTCATATATTCCCTTCAGCTATCACAGGTAACAGCAACCATATAAGAAAAGTTTTACTTTACAGGACCACTTCTTTCTCTTACAAAGCCCAGTGTTTCCATGAGTTTGACATCACTGCAGTTATGAGTGAGTGAGAGTGAGTGAGTGAGTGAGTGAGTGAGTGAGTGAGTGAGTGTGAGAGAGTGAATGAGAGTGAGTGAGTAAGACAGTGAGTGAGTGAGTCAGTGAATGAGAGTGAGTGAATGAGAGAGAGTGAGTGAGTAAGACAGTGAGTGAGTGAGTCAGTGAATGAGAGTGAGTGAATGAGAGAGAGTGAGTGAGTGAGAGAGTCACTTCTACAGTCTTAAAACCAAATTAAAAACAAAATAATTTGGCAGAGGCATCTGACCCTCTTTAACTACAGAGAGAAAAAAACCCTAAAAACTCCACATCTGCATTGGCTGCCCAAGAACTATTCCTATGACACTAAGGTTAGACATCTGCCTTCCCTCCATTTCCCCCCCTTTATTCTGATAGCAGAATATTTTACTTCTGTGGATGGGTTTGATAATGCAGTGAAATGGTCACAGCAAACTCACAGGCAATGCTCACAATTATAAGGGTTATTAGGGAAGTTAACAGGTTACAATTCAAGAGAGAAATATTCAGGGTACAGTTATTCAGCGAGGATAGTCTCTTCTGTGCCCAGAGGCAAGCTTCTGTTGGCCCCTAGTTTCTTGGCCTGAGCAGTATCCTACCTGGGCAATGTTTCAAAGCTCTAAGAAATCCTGAAAGGGCATGCCATTCTACTATAAAACTCAATCTAAAGGCACTTAGCTTCAACTCCCCCAAGTAAGCACCCAGAGGCACCACTGCTACCAATTGAAGAAGCTGTGTGAAGGTCATATCTGACCTCTTAACAGCTCCCAAGACCGATTGCCACAAGGCAAGACCAGATGTGCCTCCACTTTCCATTCCTCCTCCCCTTATTTTGATAGCAAATGCAGCTCCCTCAATTAAGTGGCCCAAAGCACCTCATTCCACAAGCCAGGCTCCTGTCCAAAGTACTCAGCTTTACTTGCTTTTGGGGCTGGGCTGTCCACTGCTCTCTTATGCTATGGCTGCTGGCTCTGCCACTGCTGCTCCTCTACCGCTCCTCTGGTGTTGAAGCTGTCCCCTGGATTAAGGAGGTTCAGTTTGCAGGGTTCTCAGGATCCAAAGGACATGCTCCTCTCAGGGCCCATCTATCTTGCTGGTAATAAGACCACCCCCAATCCCCCACCCCTGTATCCATGCTCATGAAATAGCTCATTTTATACCTAGCAGAATAGCAATCACAATTCACTCTGCCAAAAAATAAAAACTGAATCGTATCAGCGTCTTCCCCACCTTCTGTACTCTCAGAAAAGGATAATTTGATAAATATTAGTAAGCATCTGCTGATGTCATCCTTCAGCTTAACAGTTCTTTGAGTTACTGGATGCCAGCTAAGACTAAGAATTCTCCACTTCTGTATGCTGTAATCTCAGAATATTAATGTGACTACATGATCAACCGCCAATGAAAATCATGGGCACAAACTAATGAGCTTCCCTCGTGACAACTCACTGCTGAGGGAAGTAAGCAAATCCTAAGTGACTCCACTGTGAGTAGACCCTTGGGATTCTGTGCTTGGTGTCTCTTGAACTATGCCCCTTCTTTTTGCTGATACTGTATTTTTACACAGATAACATTTACATTATATGCCCCCCACCACCACCAACCAGGAACCGCTCAACCCACTCCCAACACTCGCTTTATTTGCTATGCGTGTTATCCACATTATATGACTGTGTGCATTATTTACATATATTATTTGTAAAAATACTGCATCTAGTCGTCTTCTGACTAGCACATACTCAAAGAAGGAAAACAGTGTTGTACACTAATAGTTTAGGCCCAGTAAACCATTCTTACTAGTTCTGGGAATGGTGGGAACACTTCTGAAATCCAAGTTCCAAGACTCATTCAAGGTCCAGCTTTGTAAGCAGGCCTTTCCACGGACAACAAGTAAGTCTCCTGTGTTAACTCTTTTTGCACAGCAATTCTCAGCACTAATGTAGTTGCTGAAGGCTTCCATTTTTGGTATTCCTTTCTTCACTTTACTTCATATCCCAGTCCCGGGAAACTGCTTGACCGCCAGAAAGCAAAATTTCATTCTTGTTCAGGGGACGATAGGTAGTTATTATTAATAACTTTGGGTAGGATTAAAACATTGTCCAGAGATCTGTGCCTAGGCTTTGTTCCTTTACTGGCAAGTATAGCCAACAGTTAATACATAATAAAAGAATTTTTTAATCTTTCCATTTGCTCACAAGGGTATAACTATAGGGTATAACTATTAACTAACTAACTAACTACACACACACACACACACACACACACACACACACTGCAGAAAAATCAGTAAATTATTTTTCAAGGTAAGTAAAATCCAAATGAAGTGTGGATAGCTACTCCCCACCCCCAAAAAAGCCCAACATTCGTAATCAGATTGCTGGCAACTGTTCCAGTAGTAGAACTCTCTCCTTTCATACAGGAGGCCCAGTTCAATATTCCAGTAGTTTACCTTCTGTATAGTGACCACCAGCCTCTCAATGGAATAATTCCCACTTTTCGTACAGGTGGCCCAGCTCAATTCTCTAGTATTCTCCAATTCTCTACCTGCCTCTCAGTGGAATAAAACTAAACTGGTTTCAGCAAAGCTTTTGTAAGGGGGGCTAGAAAGATAGGCCTAGAGAGCTACTTCTGAAAACCAGCCAGTGCAAACCCTCTGCATGATAACAATCCTGTATCCATAGCTGATCCTGGGATGGGGCAGGACTAGACAGCATCTCCCTAAGTTGTGCATGGAGGCTGAAGAATGGCAGCTAGCAACAATAATATTTGAATTTATCGTGTTTGATTATACTGTAATTTGGTAATCTGGGTGTGATTGTTAACTTTTTAAAGATATGCATTATGACATTTTTGTGATTTCTTTTTATGATGCATAGAGAAAGCAACCAGTGAGCTGAACACTGCTGAGGACTGGGGCCTCATTCTGGACATCTGTGATAAAGTTGGTCAGTCTCGCACTGGGTAAGCGTGCAGTTCAAAAGGATCCTTATTTCTTCTTCCTCTTTATATCTAGAAGAAAATAAAAAATTGGAAGATAAAGCACATAATAATTGAAATTCAGTTTAAAAAAAGATTATTTCTGTAGAAACAGTAGAAGAATCATGCTATCTAGGTTATTCCTTGAAACCACTTAAGGTAACACAACTGACAAAATACTGGTTTTTGTTTAGTTGATTCTTGTCCATATTTAATTTCTAGAGTCTGTACTCATTTTAGAGTCATTAGTGATTTCTTTAAGGGATGTCAAAAAATTTGTAGGAAAATTCTATTATCTTTTAAAAAATTAGTATTAATTGGGAGTTAATACATATATCATTCCTGGTTTGATCATTCAAGCAGAATTGTACAATTGTGACCACAATCAGTTTCCCAACATTCTTTTTCTTCCTGGACCCTTGACATCTTCTCCCTTTTATAGCCTCCCCATTGCCAGCCCCTACCCGCGTCCCATCGTCCCATCTCCCAACCACCACTACTGTATCACCCTGCGCCCTGAAGCCCTTACTCTACATGCTGTGTCTATAGGTTCATCAATCCCGAGTTTCATGTACCACAAAAACCAGAAGAACATGTGACACAGCTTCAAGAGGGTGACTTCCTATGACATAACACCTCTAAGATATACCCTAATATAAATGAACAAAAACGAAACAAAAATACATAAAACGTGGAAAATCAGATCAGATCTAGCATGCATCAGAGGGGGAATCAACTGACAAAGTTTTAACTGTTCAAGTCGACTTATGCCATTGATCTTCTATATGCATTTCTCCAATGCCCTCTCTTAGTAACACCTTTTCTCCCATCTTCAATTGTGGATAGAGGGAGTTCACCGGAAGCTGGTAGTTCCCACAAATGATTCTTGGGTTCCCACTGTCATCCACAGCCTTCTGCAAACCAGATTCTCACACAGTTTAGGCTCTGATACTAATCCCTCCTCTGATTTCGGATTGTATGATTCACAATCCTTTGGTAACTGATGATGGTGTGCTTCTTCCATGTGGACTTAGTTGACATCTCACTTAGATGGCTGCTTGTTTGGAGATAAGCCTTTAAGACCCCAGGCACTATTTTATTTGATAGCGGGGCATCTTCTACTTTTCTTCTCCACATTTTGTTATAGTAGCCATATCTTCTGTGTTCCCTTTCTGAGCAGGTCCATGATGTAAGTAAGAACTAATTGTTCTTAAGTTGGATCTAGGATTCAGTGTGAGCCCCAAACCCATTCCTGATCTATGTTTTTGTTTTTCCCTCAATTTATTATTTGGAGTTAATATATAAGTAAGTTATATCACTCCATAGTTGAGTCACGCCAAACAGAATTGTACAATTTCTTCCACATTCAGTGTCCAAACATAGTTTTTCTTCCTGGACTCCTTGACATCTCCCTTTTACCCTCACATTGACTCCCTCCCCACCAAACCTTTAGTCTACTTGCTGTTACTATAGGGTCATCAGTTTTGGGTCTTATGTAGCAAAAACCAGAAAAACATAACGCAGTTTCAAGAGGGTGACCCATCTTCTGAGATACACCTTAAAATGAACTAACAAAAACAAAATAAAACAGAATGACACAGGTTTGCTGAACAATACATATGTTAATACAGCATATAGGGCATTGATGGATCAAGACCTTGTTTGTATGCCTACCAACAGATCACCAGTCTTGGTACAGCTGTTTTCTGCTTCCCCAGACACCATGTATTTTCCAGCTTCAGTCCTCAGGTTACAAGTGTGTCTGAGGTAGAGTCCAGATCACCCAGTGGTTTCAACATGAGATCTCACTGATACAGCCTCTGGAGCATGCTGTGTGCCTTGAAGATCCAGGATTCAGTGTCCCAGCATTCCACAGCATCCATCCTGGGTCCCCAGGATCCACCCAGAAACCTGGGTCAAATGTGGCACATTTGGTGCCTACCACCAAAACACTCCCCCAACTAGTGTCCCCCAAAGCATTTTCTATCATTCTTCCCTCCAACTGGAGGTTGGTCATCCTCTTTTCCTACCAACTGACGTGCATTTGTGTTTCCCCAGACTTATTTGCTTCCCTTTCCACTGTGCTACGTGTTTTTCCCATCAGCATCCCTCATCTCTCTGTTAGGGCTTTCTACCTGTCTCAGGGGACCACATCGTAGATTTACATGGCAGTCACACTGTAGACAACATACCCTTCCCCTTGCTTGGCCATTTGATCCCAGCTTATGTGAGGCTATCTCTGGCCAAGTGACCTATAAAATACTTAACTAGAGCGGTTTATTGGCACCAATCAGGCTCTACCAGGCTGTTTTCCCCCTCAGCCAAGCAGCCTGGATGCCCTATAAACTTGAGCTTCTGCTTATTCTGCAGCTTGTTCTACAGCAGCGGGCTCATAACGTATTTGTCCAGTTCCCTCCACATCTTGAGCTGCTTCATTGCTCTTTTTTAGGGATATGTAGTATACCATTGTATGTGTTTTCTAGAGTTTTTTAATCCAGTCTTCCACTGATGGGAATTTAGGCTGTTTCCTGTTTCTTACTATTGTGTTGCAATGAACGTGGGGGAGCAAACTTCTGTTTGTGGTCTGTTTCTTATTTCTTTTGGGTATGTGCCCAGTAATATAGTAGTTCAATTGCCGTCTGTTTTAGGTATCACCGTATCACCTTCCACAGTGGCTGCATGTGTTTGCAAGGCCACCAGCACTAGATACGAGTTCCAATATCACCACACCATCTCCAGCACTTGTTCTCAGTTTTTAAAAATTTGGGTTTTAGTTATGGGTGTTAGATGGTATTTCATGTAACTTTGACTTGCATTCCCAGATGGGAGCTTTTCCACATGTGTTTATTAGCCATTCAGGTTTCATCCTTTGTTAATCGTCTGTTCAAGTCCTTTGCCCACCTGCTCAGATGGTTATTCATTTTTGTTTTTTTTCTTGTTGTAGGCTTGTAAAATAATGTAGATTTGACTGTTATGTCAGTACTAAATGTCTTTTCCCAGACTGTGGGCTCTCTTTTTACTCTTTTAATGAAGTCTTGATGTACATAAGTGTTTTATTTTTAATAGGTCACACTCGTCTGTTTTGTCTTACACAGTTTGCTCCCGTTGTTATCTCTGATAACCAGTGTATTCCCTGTAATAAGGCACTTAGATTGGTCCTAGTTTCTTCATGGATGATCCTGCCTTTAGGTCTCTGATCACCTTGAGTTTGTTTTCTTGCATGGGGTGAGGTATGGGTCTTGTTTCATTCTTCTGTAGGTGGACATCCAGTTTCCCCAGCACCATTGAAGAGGGTGTCTGCTTCCCATTTAATGCTTTCCGGGCCTTTGTCAACAATCAATTGCCTGCATGCAGATGTTTTTATTTCCGAGTTTTCGGTCCTGATCCATTGGTCCGAGTATCTCATTATCCTAAGACAGGCTGTTTTGACAACTGGGACTGGATAGTAGGTTGGGGGTCAGGTAGGGTTAGACCCCCTACTTTCTTTTTGAGGGTTCTTTGCCTATCCTGCGCTTCTTCCCTCTCCATATGAGGTTGGGAATCATTTCCCCCCCCCATTTTTTAAAAGAATGATGCTGGAATTTGGATCGGGATGGCATTGAATTTATAGATTCATTTTAGTAGAATTGATGTTTTCCAATATTGAGTCTTCAAGTCCACAGACACAGCATATTCTTCCATTTGTGTCGACCCCTTTTGGTTTCTTGTAGCCATGTTTGTTTTGTAGTGTTCTTCGTACAGGGCTTTTGTATTTTTGGTTAGGATTAGTCCTAGGGATTTCAGCTTTTGTGTGGCTCTTGGGAATACTATTGTTTCCTTGATAAATCTTTCTGTATTCCCATCACTGGGATATGGGAATCCAGTTGATTTCTGCTTGTTAATCTTGTATCCTGCTACTCTACTAAACTCTATTGTTCTCAGCAATCCTGTTGTAGACACCTTAGGATTCTTCATTATAAAATCATAGTGTCTGCAAATAGCTAAAGATCCACTTCTTTACGCAGTTGTGCTCCCTTGATTTCTTGCTGTTGTCTTATATTTCATAGAATGAGTTTGGGAGTTTGCTGTCCCTTTCTGTGTTCTGGAAGAGTTTGTGTTGGATTAGTGTCAGCTTTTCTCTGAACAGTTGGTAGAATTCTCCTGTGAAGCCATCTGTACCCGGGCTTTTTGTAATTTGGTAGTTTCTTGATGACCTATCGATTTCTTCTTTTGCTGTGTGTCTGTTCAAGCTCTTAATGTCCATATGCATTAATTTGGGGAGAGAATGATTTTCTAGTTATTAGTCCAAGTCCTCCAAATTATTGAATTTGTTGGAATACAGTCTTTTGTAGTGTTGCATTTTTAATCATTGTATTTCATTAGAATCTGTTGTGTCTTCCCCTGTTTCACCCCTAATTCTGTATGTCTGCTTCTCTCCCACCTTTCCTCCCTCATGAACCCTTGATATATATATTTTTTAATGTCTTACACTGACAGTGATCTCCCTTCCCCCCCTTTTCTGTTGTCCGTCGCCCTGGGAGTGGGTTATGTGTAGATCATTGTAATCTATTCCCCCTTTCTCTCCCCACCTTCCTTTTCCCCTCCTGGTATCACTACTCTCATTATTGGTCCAGAGGGGTTTATCTGTCCTGGATTCCCCGTGTTGCGAGTTCTTATCTGTACCAGTATATGGGTATCTAGTTCTATAGTGTGGGATTCTGATGGTAGGGTAAGAATAAGTGCAAAGATCTGTTCAGAATGATGTGTGCATTTAAATAAAAATGATTTGTAACCAGAATACAAGGGGGCTTCAGAAAGTTAGTGGGAAAATGGAATTAAAAGGAACCTGATATACTCATGTATAAGCCAAGTTTTTTCAGTGCATTTTTAATGCAGTTTTTGTGGTAAAATTAGGTGCCTCGGCTGATATTTGGGTCGGCTTATACTCGAGTATATACAGTAAGTAAATTTTTCCATGAAAATTTTGAAGTTCCCTCTGATATTGC